GCGCTGGAGGATCAGGAAGCCGGGATCGAAGCCAACATCCTGGCTCAATGGATGTCAGCGGTCGCAGAAGCCCACAAAAAACGTGTGAAGGATGTGACAGTGATGGACGCATTTGAGGTTCAGGGCCAGCATGGTGAGTGGCGGGTGGCGGATATTACACCACTGATCGCTGACATGTAGAGTAGCTCCGTCAAGGGCGGAAATACAAATCGGTCTGACCGAAAAGGAAGGGGATAACAACATCATCGTCGGAGCAGCGGAGTGGATGGTTGAGGGAATGAGGATTGAGGATGCACAGTGCGTAATTACAATCCGGCCGTCCGACATTCAATGCTCACAATCCGACAGAATTGCGCTGCAGCGGGTAGTAAGGGCCTATGGGACCAAGACAACGGCAGAGCAGCGTTTGAACATCGCGAAACAGAGAAAACGGCTCGAACTCCGGATCGAGCGCTTCCTAAGGAAGGGGAGGAGATTGTGGGTACGAACGAATGGGACGACGGTCGGCAGCATACCGAGGTTATCGACGACAATGGTGACCTATCCGACTGGGAAGACATGCAGAACAACGGCCAAGCAGCCGCCGGGCCCAACGTAACAGGCAATGTCCCGGCTTCTACTCCGAAATCAAGAAAGCGAGATGGGAGGGCAGCGGAGTGGCGGCTGTTGTCACTTCCATCGTCCTACTCTGTCGACACGATCAAGACTGCGGACGTGCAGCCATATGCAAAAGCGGAACTGGAGCTACGAATCGGGCAAGCGAACGACATCTTGCACCAATTGCGGATATTGCTCAGCCAAAAGTCATTTGTAATGCGGCGAAGGTGCGCGATGCCAAGTCTCAGTCGCGGAAGACACGGGCGTGGGCGGATGTGCATGCTGTTCAGAAAGGAGTGGAACACCAGGCCCGTATGTACAGGAAGGTGCGGCATGCGATGACAGTGCTCGGAGCAACAACGTCAACACTTCGAAAGTACCAGAAATTGGTGCCTGACGACTTGAAGGTCAGCACAGCAATCGTAGAACCGAACCAGAGGGGGCAGCGACATACCCGGCTACCCTGGATATGGACGACGGATGTTCAAGGCGATATGAACGCAAATGAGACAATGACGGAATGTAAGCAGGTCACGGTCGCGGTACATCTACAGAATCATGATTTTTACAGTACACCGTGTGCATTGGTTCCGAGCACGGTCACAGTTCGAGCGAGCCGAAGAAGAGGACAATATCCTCCGCCGGGAGCTGGATTCTGTCCGGAGATATTTTGAGTACGAGACGAAACGGTGGGCAGATCATGCCGCCAACCGGAAGAGCGGAAAGTATCCTGGGTATGCGGAGGTGTGCCGTCACAGGCAACATATGTACAAGGTGCTACAAAAGGATGCTGACACTGCCTATGGTATCATGTACCTGGGGAGATAATACAAACTGTTTCCTTATACCGTTATCGCCATCCCAATTTCCCTAACTCAACATGCGTCCGCCGCCTGATGTCCGGTGGCGGGTGTCCGGTGGCGGGTGTCCGGTGGCGGGCGTCCGGTGGCGGGGTCCGGTGGCGGGCGTCCGGTGGCGGGCGTCCGGTGGCGGGCGTCCGGTGGCGGGTGTCCGGCGGAGGACGCGTCCCCTTTTAATGCTGTGATGGTGCACTACCGTGGCAGAACCAAGCAGTTTAACAATGTTTCGGGTCATGAAATACAGGCAAAATTGCTGATAGCTAGCTAGAAGTCGACCGTTAGCCAACTGGTCTTCCTAACGTTGGCCCATGTATGCACTTGGGGCCTCATGTAGTATACTACGCATAGCCTCTCCCTATTAGAACGTGACACGGAATGAGGGAGCAGGGAACCAGAGAACAAAGCCGCGCAACCGCCGGCGTACTGCAATTTGAGGCCGAGGGTCGGGAGCTCTAACACCGTGTTGTCGTCCCCCCCAATCGTTATAAGGAGATCGTACAAGTCCTTTGCCGAGATTCTGTCGACGTGGAGTGGCGTTCGGCGGTTGGTTATAACGGACATCGCGTTGAATGGATTACCCCACAAGGGGAGAACGTCCGCGATGTCGGGACAAATCTGAGTTGAGGCGAGGGCCGCATAGCCCATAGCATGCAACTCCGGATGAATTATCCGGAGCATGCCTGCAATGAGGGTGTGCTGCTCTGTCATTGCCCGCAACCAATCCCGGCCGGGAGATTGTTGATCTGACAACGTCGAGGACACCTGTGGCGGATACGTAGTACCCTGGAGAGACAATGTTGGTCCAGCACTGCTGCTGCTCAATGCTGCGTACCTGGTGACCTTGCTGGTACCAACCCGGAGAGAAAGATATGCAGCCGGGGTCCAAGCTTTCCCATTGTCCGGTTGCCGCGAAGTTGTCCGGATGCTTCCGCCATGTTTGCGAAGGCTGCGGACGACACTTCTCGAGCATGGGATTGAGTAGGAAAGTATTTTCCCATATCTTAATCTGAGGGGTTTGTGAGTTAGCATCAATGGGTACCCCGGGAAGGTACAAGGCTTGCCTTCTGCGCGGCCGTTAGGATACCAGGCAGGTACCAAAGCAGTATATGTCCCGCTGCATCGATGGCGGTGGCGGGCTGTGTGAAGATACCGTCGCCAAGTTCAAGGGGCGGGAATTCCTTCATGGCGCGATGAAGGCGGGGCATTGTCCGGTCAGAGATTTCCGCCGGGATAGCCTCCGCATAATCCTCTGCATTCCAATCCACGAAAACTTGGCTATGCAGTGAGCTTAGGCGTGTTGCCAAGGCGTAGACCATGCTCACATCGACGAGAAAAGGCTTCAGCAATGATGTCGACCATTTGGTGTGCCTGGCCGATCATTTCCGGACTAAAGTCGGGGTCCGGCGCGGGTGTCACATTCTGCCCGGCAGTCCCAGCCGAACAAGCCAGTCTGTAATCGTACAACGTAACCATATAAGTGGATACACGCATGTCGAGACTTTCGTGCGGCATGGCGGGAGGAAACTGTGTTGATCAGGTCGCCAAGGTTCGATGAGATCTTCGGTGGGTCTGTATAGTTTGTACAACAGTCGCATGCAAAAGCTGTGGCTGGTAAATGTCTAGTAATGGTCTTACATTCCCGGAAGATCGGGCAGATCTCCTTGTGATCAGTTCATTATGGGATCTCGGGCCGGACTCTCCGGGGGGGGGTGCATCGTTATCATGATTACGCAGTGATTGAAGTGCTGCATTAGGGCGCATCCGGGCTGCATTCGCAATGCTGAGGGTGTGCACTGGTGGTGTGTGGGATAGGTGAAATGTGATTTACCAGCCAGCACGAAGGAAAGGAACAGACAGACAGCCGGCCGACACATATTTCGCGGAAGGAGATACCTTCCACTGGGGTCCGGCCGAGAAATTGAATGGACAACACATTTGTTATCAATTATCAGCGCCGGCCGCTCAGATATCAGCGGTTTGACAAGGAGTCGGCCGGCCGGGTCACAACATTGTGTCCGGACGGCGGCCCACCAGGCATAATTACAGTAGTGCAGTGTCGGCCGACCGGGTGGAGATGCATGCATTGTAGAAAACACGTCGCTGCGGCCGCAATGGGACCGTTGAAAAGAGGTGTCGGCCGACCGGGCAATAGTGGTTCCCCTGAAAAGCAATCCCAATGGTGTCGATCCGCGGTCCCTCGGCCGGCCAGAATGCCATGGCTTGCCTAATGGCCGGCCGCCATGGGACCAACGTCCTGTCCGACCGCCGGCCGACGAGGTACAGATGCATCCGGAGCACGCTCGGCCGTCCGGGTGTATATGGTGAGTTTTGACCGTCGGCCGACCTGTGAGTCCCCCAACATCTCACCGTCGGCCGACCCGCGGGGGATGACGGCACACAATGCCAATCCCAGCACACACCCTGCGAGCCCTCGTGGGCGGCCGCGACGGGAACACCATCGCAGTTCGACCCGTCGGCCCATCCGCGCGCGCCCGGATATTTTGACCGTCGGCCGACCCGGACAACAACGGCGGAGTCACACCGTCGGCCGACGTCGGGTGGCCGGGCAACTATAGGTGAATCTCACGTCGGGTGGCCGGGTAACAAACCGGTAGTTTGACCCCATTATGTGCGTCGCCTGGTTGCGTCGTTCTTCGGCACAGTCCATCCGGCCCGTGCGAGGTCCCGGGCACGTGCACGAGAGTGAAGTGAAACGTGAGAATTGAGACAATCCAGCGATTAATGCTCGCGCTCGGTGCGATGTCAGGATTAGCGAGCATGCCCTTGATGTAGCGGGCGTCGACTTCCACGATTAGGTTTCGAATCCCGATGACATACATTCGAAGCGCTCGAAGAGCGCGGAACAGTCCATAGATTTCAAGCTTTGGTTGCGAGAATCGACGTTCACGGTCGTTGAGCGTGATTGACCCGAATCGGCTGTAGTACCTGCGCTTGGCGTCTTCCTCGTCGCACTGGCATAGGAGGAATCCGACTGCAATGAAGGACGTGTCGACGGCCAGAATAACAGGTGCCGTCGAGTCGTAATTGATCGAACGAAGTGCTGGGCTTTCGAGCAAGGCCTGCTTCAAGTCGTCCTGAGCCTGCTGTTGTGCGGGGCCCCATTCGAAGGGCATATCCTTCCTTGTTAGACGGACGAGCGCGTCGGCCCGGTGCGCGAAGTTCTTGATAAATATCCTGCACACTCCGATCGTGCCGAGAAACGCTCGAACATCGGACAAGGTCTGACAGGCGCCCCAGTTTCGGATGGTCGCAACTCGAGATTCGTCAGGTAGGCGTCCCTGAGGCGTGCAGCGGTGGCCAATGACCATGGTTTCTCGAGCTATCAGCACACTCTTAACTCCCGAAAACGTTCCACCAGCGTAGCGCATTCGAGTGACGATCCGATTAAGGTTCTGGAAATGTTCCCAGACGAACCTTCGAATACCAGGATTCTGCGGGATGACTTCGCCACCATAGTCGCTAGCCGGACCTTTGAGCGGAACGTCGTCGATGTAGGGTACAGTGTGTTCGGGAGTTTCGGGCTGAAGTATATAGGTTACGTCGTCGTGGAAGATGGGTACTGCATTTGTCCACCCCATAGGAAGCGTAGTAAGTCGCATGGCTCCATACGGTGTCTGGAACGTAGTGAGATCTCTCGAACTTTCGGCGATATAGCGTTCGTCGTAGCCGACATAGAGGTCTAGCATCCCTCCGCACGTTCGTCCTCCGAACTGTTCAGCGAGATGCTCGGGAGTCGGCGGGACACCAGAGTGTTGGATCGTGACTGCGTTGAGAGGCTCGAGACTGTGAACAATCCGTAAGGATTTGCCATCCTTCTTAACAACACAAAACCATCGCGAACGGTACGACGAGTTCGAAGGTTCGTAGACTCCTGAGTCAATCTTGCGACGAATCATCGAGCAGACCTCCTTGTACAGACCAGGAGGGATAGGGATGTTCTTCTGGACCCAGGGCGTGTGCGGGATCACAGGAAAATCTATGGGTGGGAAATATTCGGACTTGAAGTTGCCACGTTCGTTGTCTGACCACGCGAACGCGTCGTTGTTCGTAGCCATGAAGTGGTGCAGTAGATCGCGTTCGGCGGGTTGTAACAGATCATCGTCGTGCAGTTTATCCGAGACAGCTGCCCTTTCGGCCGTGTAGCGACCTTCGGGCTTGAAAGGAGGTGGGTTGGGGTTGAGTTCACGCATCGTAGAGAGCGGATCTCCCTTGATGTCGCGAACGATACGAAACTGTTCGGGGACGGACCCGAGAACAGGTCTCGTCTTGAGTGCGACCGGCTTGTACTTCTTCTTCGATTTTGCCTGTGCGAATGTGGACACATCAGGAGCATCCTCGGACGAGTCGGTACTGTCGTGGGTATGGCCGGTGCGGGTATACGTAGGTAAGTCGGTCGAACGGGAGAATGTGTTCGGAGAAGTGGTCGAAGATGTATGCGTGTTCGAAGGTTTCGAATTGTATGACGGGGTATGCTGAGTCGATCTCGTAGCCTCGGTGGCTGTCCTGACTTCATCGAAAACAAAACTGGAATAGGTATGTGGAACGGAGAGATACGTAGCCGCGAGAACTGGGTCTTCGAGAGATGAATGTTGGCATAGGCAGAAATGGACGGGGTATCGTTTTCGAAGTCGATCACAAGTGCGACTTGCTCGTCATCGTCGGCCTGAACTACGTGTTCAAAAGTCCCGACTGCCTCTTCTGAAAAACCTCTTGGAACTTCGGCGTCCTCGAGGCATCGTAGGTACCGTGATCTGTTCGGACGTGTTCGGGCACAACAGGGTGATGGTCTGATTCTCATCGGCGAAGTTCTTCACCAGGCTCTCAGTGATGACGTCGAATGGTCGACCTAGCAGTACGTCGTACGACGCGCGCTTGATGACGTGGATCTGGAGATACAAGGTGATCGGGCCGACTTGACATGGTACGTTTCGAACAAGGCCGAGCGAG